GCATAGCATTTATTTTTCCCAATCCATTACGCACGGCCACCATTAAATCTAATCGATTCGCCATTTCTGATTCAATAATTGCATAGGTGCTAGATTAAATACCCTAATTAGACCAATATAACACACAATTCGATTGCGTATTTATTAGTTTAGCTCTCAATGTATGAGAGGCAGGCCGATGTAAAATTCATTTTCGACAAATGATTTTCCTCTCCTAGGTCAATAAACACGAATTCGCTAGAGCCGCAGTATTAATAAACAAATTATAACTTGAGGAGCCTTTTATAATAGTCTAAGATAAAACCTAATTTTTATGTATATTTATCAATAGGGGAATACATTTTTAATCAAAAAGTTGCCGCATATAGATGTTGCCACGGTTCAAAGTTTTTCCTGCTACTTTATATGGGTCCGGCAACAATGCGCCGTGCATCTGTAGCTCCTACAATAAAAAAAACTTAGAAATTATGAAGTGCCAACCTAAAGTATATGTTGGGATGAATTTAAGGATAATATTTTAATTTCTACAGGGTAGCTCAAAAAAGTGTGAGTGGCTAGGGATGACTTTTGTTAAATGGAACACTCTGTATATTATTCTATTTTTGGGTTTATTTCTGATCACTTTTACATAATCCTAAGATATTATAAAAAATGTTTTGATAGTTTCAGAAATTTTAATAAATAAAGAAAATATTTTTTTCAGTTTAAAAAAAATTAAAAATACAAGATATGTCCTGAAATCAAAACTATACTAGGTATTTACTATAGTTAGTTTGTACTTACTTTGCTATAAATAATCGTAATCTTAAACCAAACAGGGTGTTCAAAATTCTATGCCAAACTTTCTAAAACATAAAATAGTTTTTCTTTATTTTTTTTTAATGGAACACTCTGTATATTATTTTTTTTGTAATAAAACATTTTAGAATTTTTAGCGGTTCCATTAAAAAAAAGAAGAAAATTTATTTTATGTACACCCTGTATGGTTTAAGATTACGATAAATATAGCAAAGTAAGTACAGACCAGCTGTAGTAAATACTAAGTATAGTTTTGATTTCAGAACATTTCTTGCATTTTTAATATTTAATAAAAAAGGCTTAAAAATATTTTTTATTCTTTATTTATTTGCCCTGACAACAAAATACAATTCTCTATTAAATTATAATAATAATATGGATGCTTAAGCATAACACAGGTTATTTTAATTTCATCTAAAAATGGATTAACACGTGCTAAATAATGGAATTGTGTAGACATTATGTATATTAAAATAATTATTACATTAGCAAAGAGTACGTGAGTTAACAGCTTATTTTAAAACAGTATTTTCCACATAAAACATAATGTTTCCCAGCCCGTTTTTTGTTCGTTGCTGGAACTGAATCTGAAATATTTTATTCACATTTTGCCATACCTACATTTATTTTAAATTTCTTCATTTAAACCTGACTAATTTTTTTTGTAAAATGAAGCTATTCTAACCACTGCATCGTTTATAGTAATTTTAATAAATAAATTAACAATACAACTTCATTTAATGTCCTTTTATTTCTTGTGGAGGTCTAAATGAAAATTATTCCCTGCTCCGAAAATTAAAAAGCAAATAAAGTTTAGAAATGCCTTTCTTAACTGTAGTTGTTAACAAAGAATAAAATGGGTCAAATAAAGTTAGTTTTATCTTACAAGACTTTTTTTTATTTGTTTGGAACTTATACAGAATATTTCCCCCAGTGTATGAACCAACTGTTTTAACATTTCTTAGCAGTTAGTGCAAAAATGTATTTTCAATAATGCTATCTGGCGAGGATTTTTTTTTGGAAAAATGCTGCAAAATAAACAATGGGACATCAACATTTTTCGCTCCTCTCTCAATTAGTCCAGTGTAAAATTCAATTTGCTTCGTATTTCAGTCATACCATTTACATTTGTAAACGTTTTCCGCTGGCAGTAAATACGTAAAACGCATAATTCGGGCACCTCATTTTTCCAAAAACACATTTAACTATCATTTTCATATTTTGACTTAATAGGAAGGATTTTTCCGATAATTATTCTTTTTTTCGATACAAAACCTCATTGTTTTTTTCAAACAATAAACAAAAGTATCAGTGATTTATCCACAGTAGCATTGTTTGATTATTTATGCTTAACATGTAGTTAGTTTAGTTCTGAGAACAAAAGAGCCTAATAAATTATAATATATTTTAATAAGGATTGTATATAATGTTATATAATTTCAGAAACTGTCTACCTTAGAGCTAGAATATTGATAAAGCCCGGGAGGGTCATCTAATTGATCAAAAATTTGAATTTTTCTATTTATCACTTTAAAATTAATATAAATAAAGGTGAGAAAATTTTGGAAATTGCGGAAATTGTATAAAATTGTATATATTTTCAGAAACTGTTCACTGCTGAGCTAGAATGTCTGTAGTTTTAGGGCAGGGCCTAGGAGTGTTCACGGGGTCTTCAAAAAGTACGAATTGTTTGAATATCCGCTTTAAAAAAATATTCATAAAGCTCAGAAAAATCTGAAAATTTCAGAAATTGTATAAAATTTTATATATTTTCAGAAACTGTCCACTGTTGACCTAGAATATTCGTAGTTTTAGGACAGGACCCGGGAGAGTTCACCGGCTCTTCAAACAGTACGATTTTTTTGAATAGCCACTTTAAAAAATATTAATAAAGCTGAGAAAAATCTGAAAATTTCAGAAATTGTATAAAATTTTATATATTTTCAGAAACTGTCCACTGCTGACCTAGAATATTTGTAGTTTTAGGACAGGACCCGGGAGAGTTCACCGGCTCTTCAAGAACTACGAATTTTTTGAATAGCCGCTTTAAAAATACATTAATAAAGCCGAGAAAAATCTGAAAACTTCAGAAATTGTTTAAAATTTTATATATTTTCAGAAACTGTCCACTGCTAATCTAGAATATTTGTAGTTTTAGGACAGGACTCGGGAGAGTTCACCGGCTCTTCGAAAAGTACGAATTTTTTGAATAGCCGCTTTAAAAATATATTAATAAAGCTGAGAAAAATCTGAAAATTTCAGAAGTTATATAAAATTTTATACATTTTCAGAAACTGTCCACTGCTGAGCTAGAATATTTGTAGTTTTAGGACAGGACCCGGAAGACTTCACGGGCTCTTCAAAAAGTATGAATTTTTTTGAATAGCCGCTTTAAACTAATATTAATAAATCTCAGAAAAATTTAAGATAAGACAATTAAAAATATCACTTAAACCTTAAAATATCTTTCTAAACTCACTGGGTATTTTACGGGGAATAAAATCCATTAGCAATACAAATGCTTAGATAATGTATACTTGCATTGCAGTCTGGTATAAGTAGAACAAAATTCCATCGCAATTTCTTTTAATTAATAAGCAGAAGTGAGGCAGTACAATTTTTCTTCAATTGTCGACATGATTTGGCTGTTAAATAAAGGCACCAGCCCAATTTATGTATAGATGATCGATTTCAAACGTAAACGAGGAAAATATTTTAAATTAATTTTCCACCGACCTGTTTGTTTTTGTTCTATTATATAACCGAGCAATTATTTACAGTAATTTTACAATATTAAATACGTTTCAAATTATTTTAACCCGTTTCCAATATCACACTAATGTAAAATAACAAATAGGGCGTCACACATAGAGTTGCAATTTGCAATTCAAAGCAAATTGGAATTTTTCTTGCACTACTTGTTACCAAAAATTTTTTTTGGTTATAAATAATGATTGTTTGATTTATTACCAAAATTTTTTTTGGTGATAAGTAATTATTTTTTGTGTAATTTATTACCAATTTTTTTTCTGGTAATTTATTACCAATTTTTTTTTGGTAATAAATATTAATTTTTTGGTGTTACCAAAAATTTTTTTGGTAGTAAATAGTACTTTTACTCTTTTTCGGTTTAATTTAACTTACAATTTCTATAAAACATTTTTGTGTAATTTATTACCAAATTTTTTTGGTAATAAGTAATAATTTTTGGTAATTTATTACCAAAATTTTTTTGGTAATAAATAGTACTTTTACTCTTTTTTCGTTTAATTTGACTAACAAATTCTAGAAAACAAATATAGAATTGTAAAAACCACGAAATGAAACGCTAGGTGTATTATTCTCTTAAACTCTTTTAAATTTGATTTTGTTTTTTTTTCTAGCTCTCTCAAACTGCCAATATGCAACGCCGGTTTGCTATAATAGAAGACAATTTATATCTGAAGCGAACAAAAGCCAATTCTCCAACTTGGACTTAACATATTTCCAAATTTATCGCTTCTATTTCGTTTTGGGTCATTCCATGATGGCGGTGGGGACGCATAATACATTTTTTAACAAAAATTGAAATATTTCCGTGTGCACATAAACTTCAAATTAAATCCTTTATTTGTGAATTTATTTTCAACTGAAGAACGGTCCGAAATTTGTAAAATCCTTCGATATCCATGTGTGACAGATAGAACATGAATTACTCTTCTTTCTTTAGATGTTTGTGCTTGACGCGGAAATTCAGAACAAATTGCTGTGTCATCTAAAGCTCTAATTTTATTTTAGAACTTTACATTAAAACTTTTTACTTCTCCTGTTTTGTACTTGAAATTCTACTTTTAAAGAATAACACTTTTTTTCTTATTTAAAACAATTAAGTTTTAGTTTTGGTTTTAGTCATGTCTTATTCTGATCTAGAGAAATATATTCATCGGCTCTTCAAAAAGTTTCCGATTTTTTTTAAAATTTAAAAAAATATTAATTAAGCTTAGAAAAGTCTGTGAATTACGTAAATTGTATCAAATTTTATATGTTTTCAAAAACTGTCCACTGCTGAGCTAGAATATCTGTAATTTTAGGATAGGACCCAGGAGTAGTCACCGGTTCTTCAAAAAGTACGAATTTTTTGAATAGCAGCTTTAAAAAACTATTAATACAGCTGAGAAAAATTTGAAAATTACAGAAATTGTATAAAATTTTACATATTTTCAGAAACTCTCCACAGCTGAGCCAGAATGTCTGTAGTTTTAAGATAGGACCCGTGAGTGTTCACCAGTTCTTCAAAAGGTAAGAATTTTTAGACTAGACGCTTTAAATTAATATTAATAAAGCTGAAAAAAATCTGTAAATTACAGAAATTGTATAAAATTTTATATATTTTCGTAAATTGTCCAACGCTGAGCTAGAATGTTTGTAGTATTAGGACAGGACCCGGTAGAGTTCACCGGCTCTTCAAAAAAGTACGAATTTTTTGAATAGCTGCTGTAAAAAAATTTTAATACAGCTGAGAAAAATTTGAAAATTACAGAAATTGTATAAAATTTTATATATTTTCAGAAACTGTCCACAGCTGAGCCAGAATATCTGTAGTTTTAAGACAGGACCCGTGAGTGTTCACCAGTTCTTCAAAAGGTAAGCATTTTTTGAATAGACGCTTTAAAATAATGTTAATAAAGCTCAGAAAAATCTGAAAATTACGGTAATTGTATAAAATTATATATGTTTTATATATAAACTGTCCTCCCCTGAGCTAGAAACTTCGTAGTATTAGGACAGGGCCCAAAAGAGTTCACCGGCTTTTCAAACAGTACGAATTTTTTGACCCTTCGATATCCATGTGTGACAGATGGAACATCAAAACACACTTCTTTCTTTAGATGTTTGTACTTGACGCGGAAATTCATCTAAAGCTCTAATTTCATTTTAGAACTTTACATTACAACTATTAACTGTCCTGTTTTGTATTTGAAACCGTGACTTTTAAGGAACAATACTTTTTTTCTTATTTAAAACAATTAATTATACTTATTCTGACCTAAAGAAATATATAAAAGGTTTCGTGAGAAACAAATCAAGCGTTGATACATTGAAATGCATTGATAAGGCTTTATTTTTAATGTAACGACCCTTTTGAAGTTCATATTTAAGTTTGCTCTCGAAATATAAAGGCTGCGACGGAAAAAAGTTTAAAAAAGGCTTTTTATTCTTATTGAGAAGAGTTAATTTACCGAAAATGTCCAGCCGCTGATAGTCGTGCGGGTTGGCTTTGGCTCCTAATCCAAAACAGCTGTAAAGAATTAGCGGCAAAAACAAGAAAAATGACATAGTAAAAGCACAAAAGCACTGAACATGACAGTCGAGGCGCGCGTCAATGCAAAACCGCGCTGCAGGAGCTGTCGACCGTACTCCCTGCTATCCCGAAATTGTCTGGCTTGAGGGCCTGAATCCTGCTACCGAACGATAGGCCCGAGTAGTTTCTGTTACACAGCACCAGCGCAATTAACAATGAGGCTTATTTTCTTCTTTCCTGCTACGGAATGATATATCAAGTAGGGACATGTCCTTATCTTTTGTTCGGATGTGCCGACAAGCTGCACACTTTCCTTTTTTTTCTGGAAAGATCGAGCGCGTTTTTCAATTTTCGCATTTTTTATCTCTGCTATTTTATCCCGAACAATGTACTCTAAAAGGGCATGTAGTTTGAATTTTTCACTGTATGTTTTACCGGTAATAATCCGAGAAAGGTATTTAAACTACGAGTTGTGCTTTTTAACTTTTAGTTTCTCAACTTTCGTAATTTTTCATTACACTCACAACTTTATTATTACGTTTTTATAACGGAATATTTTAACACCATTTATCATTTTCTATCACAATTAAAATTAGCTCAAAAATAAACAGCGGAATTTTGATAGAATAAAGCTCCGCCTACACATAACAGTTTGGACTGTCAGTTAAAACGGAAATTTAGGGAACTGGGTGGAAAAAATAATTTTCTTAGCATTACATATAGAGTTGTTTTTTAAATGTTGCATATAGGAAGGAAGGCATCTACTGCAACAAAGTGACATATGATTTTTCTGCGTGTCTTCACTGCACACAGAACAAAACCAACTTTGTTGAAGTCGTTTCTGCTCAACTAGATTGGTTATTTTTTCAAAGGCTTTCTCGGTGCAAAAACTTCTGAAAATCGTAATTTACATTATTAGTTATTAATTTGGTAATTATTAGCTTACCTAATCATGTGGATATCAACAGCCTCATCAAGAACGGCATGTGATATTACTTCGGGGAGCATTTTAAGGTCTACAGTTTCAAAAAATGTCCCATTTGTGATGTCTCTAACGATATTACGATCCTTAACGAAGCAATTCAGGATTACATTTTGTTTTTCATGATAGGATTGTTTATCAAATGCTACAGTACATCTTTTCTTTTTCTTTGGTAGTCCTATGACTGTTAAGTCCTGTCCTTTTGGTTTCGTCCTCGTTTTTTTATTGAAACAGGCATTTTAATTGTTGTCAAAGCGAAATCATTGACTTCAACTATTTGATGGGACTGGTTGTTGACGTCATTTAAAACTTAATCACTAATATAAGAAAGTTGATGCGCTTCATCTCGTGTCATTTCCTCCTCTATAACCAGCTCGTTACAAAACTCAGGTGCTTCCACAGGTGACTGACCAAGAGTTGATGTATTTCTATTATCTAATATGAGCGCTTCACTCATATTGTTTCTGTCTTGAAGGTCCGTCTCGTCACAACCCTCAGAGTGTTCCACAGAAGACTGATTTTTACTTTCAAATACAACTGCATCATCATAATTTATATGTAGCATCTACTGCAAGAAATTCTGGAAAAGCCTTCATTGTACTTTTCATGGTTGGACTTTGAATGAAAAGTCCTCTGAAATTATTGTCTTCGTCTCGCAAAACAGCTACATTGGCACTTGAAAACAGAGTAGTTATTGGGACTAATAAGACGATAATAGAATATTTTAGTTTACCATATTTAGCTTTAAATATATTTAAGCAGCCATCTAAGTTTTCTTTTCTTGATTGATCGGATATCTTCATATTTGTTAAATCTTGTAAAGTAACAATTCTACCAGTACTTTCTTGAACTTTTTGCTGTATCATTTTTCTATTGGCCTTCATATTCAAATAATCCTTGACGCTTTCCTTCATGTTACTGGAAAGTTTTCTTTGGCTAGGGTTATATGCATGTAGAACCTACAAAATATATCTTTTATGAATAAAATACTGTTCAAGCAAGAATTCTAAAAGCATACTATATGTCAACTAATCTGTAAACTTACCTTCGAAGTGACATGATTGTGCTTCATTTGAAGCATAATTTGAACCGATGTTACCTCGAGTGCTTTTCCATCAGACGATGCTTTGAATCTTACATGTACTGGGCAATCTTCTTTAAATGTCCAAGACTGTCGAATTTTTTCTCACTGCCCTTAAACTTCTTTCCACCGGGATTACATGCATATAGAAGTTGATAATAAATCAAAGAGCTTTCTATTGGTCTCACAATTTTACTGCTTGCAATCGTACGGGCATCTCTTTTCCAAAATGTTGTGTACGTATTTTCACCAAGTTCCTCAATCGCTTTCTTTGCGTCAGCGAATGAGCTGAACGTATCCCAAATTTTCAGCATGCTAATTTTAGTCTGAAAAATAATTAGGTACCTAACTAACCTAAAAATGTTCACCTAGGAAAACATCGATGATGTATGTAAGCTGATCCAAGAAGATTGACATGTCAGTCATGTCACCCATGTCACATATCGTGATCATTGGGCATTTTAAAGACTTCAGTTCAAAAAATTTTACATGAAGAATTATCTTTTTTTTAGAAGAATTATCGTTTCTCGTTGGATACCGTATCTGTTGACGGAAGAACAGAAAGCATTTGGAGTCAATTAGTGATAAAAAAAACTCTACATCGGTTTAACGCAGGAAACTAAAAATATATATTAGATGCATATGAAAGCATCAGAATTAATAAATGTAAAGATAGTATGAACAGAGTCAACGGTCCAATTCCTTCAAGTTCTTTGTTCCTACTATTCTAGTGGCGGAAATCTAACTGTTACGCTCAGTTGGCTCTGACTCGGTTGGCTAGATTTTGCCACGCCCACTCGGTGCCCACTGAGCGAGTATATAAACGCTCAACTTGTAGATTGCACTTTAGTTTATAATCATCTGCTGATGATGCTAACATAGTTAGCGAAACGCGCGTCCAGTGTAAAAGTAAAAGTGTTTTGGTGTATTGTGGTGATTTAGTGTTTTTATTTTGCTAAAAACATATACATATTATCAATGTTTACGGTTTTGGCTAAACATCTAATTCTTAAAGATAAAATGTTATGTGTAGGTGGAGCTTTAATTCTAGATAGATTTTTTGTGATCAAACTTTCTCTTCCTTTACTTCTGGAAAGAATATATTATTTTCGTCCCTTAGTTTGAATATTTGCTGACGTGTCACATATCTTTTTTCATTATTATTTTCGAGATGCCACATAAAACATCTGCGTGTCAATCTTCAACCACAATTTTCTGTCAAGCCTATTCGGAGTTACGGTTTTATTTTAAGACGATAGAACGTTGCGCAGTTTTTATATGTATTAAGAGTTTTCAAGAAAAACACATACATATCTCAACAAATAAAATTGTTTTCATGTTTTCGTCGAACGATATTAAATTATTGTAAACCGTTTTATGGATTCTTCGTTTTGTTCTGCGATATATTCGAAGCCAACAAACTCAGTACGATATAAAACTTTATTTAATCCAATACTTAAACCACCTTATTGCCTTGTTTATCGTCGGATATTGATAATGAATAATGGTTATTTTTGCCCGTCGGCGTAATATTTTTCTAGCAAGAAATTTAATCGTTCAGAGATGAGAACCAATTATTAAATAGAGTCTTGATTAAGGGTATGCTCAAATTTTGAATAATTAAGCAGAGTAGTGCAAAGGTTAAACCTGCGTTGTGGTGAGGTCAGTTATTATTTTCCTACGAATTTTCCTACGAATAACCACCCTAGAAATCAACCGTACATAATAAATGAATTTTTAATCTCTGGCTCTTATAAATCTGATGGCCCTAAACCATATTCTAAATAAACCATAAGGCCGCACTTTTTATTCTTCGACTTGGAGAAATCCAGGCTCCAGACGAGAAGTGGCTTAATATATAATCTCTGGATTTATTGCCACCAAACGTTTTCAATATGGGTTTTTTTACGCTGTCTCTCTTCACTTACAATTTAGAATATATTCGGCGTTGTTCTTAACAGGCACTCTCCATTTGTTTAGTCTGAATATTTAAAAAACAATATAAATCCTTCTTTGGCTGTACATAAAATTGCAAACAGGGTCATTTCATTTGCGTTTGACCAATTAAAAAATGTAGAACTACATTATTGATAGATTTCATGGGCGCCGGAAGAATGAAATTTAGGGGGGGGCAAGGTAAAAATGAATAAAAAATTGACATTTTTGGTAATTATTGGGAAAACTGGAAATCGTCCGATTTTCATCAAAATTGGTATACACCCTATTTTGAAGTCGTAGATTACGAATCTGAACTTTTTTCTTGGCGGTCTCTTACCGTTTTTCAGAAAAACGGAAAATAATTTCAATACCGAGTTTTTCTTAATTTTTGATATTTTTAAGGTTTTCTAGCACATATTTTGTTAGGTATTCAATAATCAATAATGTTTTTGCTATTTTCTGTTACTTTTTTAACCAATTCTATGCATAATAGAGGAAAATTTGCTAAAATAAATTTGTAAACAATCTGAAAATGTTAGATTATAGCTTTGTTCGGGTTCTTGTTATTACCGATTCTGAACCGTCCAAGAACTCTGCAGCGCATGCGCAAATGAAATAATGTCTTCATATTTCCTTCTGCGCATACGCATCACAGTTCTAGGACGGTTCAGAATCGGTAATAAGAGAAACCCGAAGTAAGTTTATGTGTTTCTGGCATTTAAAGCAACGTTGCCAATGCTAAACCTAAATTTAGCGTGTTTTTTTCGCTCATTCTGGAATTACGAAAGGCGGTCGCCAGAAGAACGGCTCCTTCCCATAACTGCTATTTTACCAACGAGATCTGACTATTTATACCCACGAAGTTGCACGAAAGAGTTTTGATTGCATTGGTTACAACTTCCATGCAGAGGGTGTTAATCTTTTGTTGTTATATTATTAGATTAACTAAAAAAAGATTAACCCCCTCCGCAAAGAAGTTAAAACCAATGCAATCAAAACTCTTCCGCGTAATTTTGTGGATATAGGTGTATATTTAATTATTGTCGATCTCATAATAGGTAATTTATTTAAAATCCCTAATCACCCGAAAAAATAGAAGATATGGCAACGTTGTAAATTTTCAAATTTCTAGATTAGGTCTAGAATATATTTGTCTCTCTTATTACATAGGAGAGAGAAAGAAGGATATATCAAATGTCAAACTTCCATCTGGTCTCAATTTTCTTTGCTATTTTGTTAAGAAAAGTGTTTTTCAGTAAAATGTTGGACACTTTTCTATCCCCAATCAAGTGTGGCTTTTAGATAAACTATAATATAATGAAAATATAGTGAATTATTACTTTATAGGGCCGAAATTA